CAACAAATTTGATACTCTAGAATAAATGGATGAATTCTTAGAAATTATACAACCTTCCAAAACTGAAACAAGAAGAAATAGAGAATTTGAATACACCAATCACCAGTAACGAGATCGAAAAAGTAATTAAAAACCTCCCCAAAACTAAAAGTCTAGGACTAGATGGCTTCCCTGGAGAATTCTACCAAACATTCAAAGAAGAATTAATACCTAGCCTTCTCAAACTCTTCCAAAACATTGAAGAGGAGGGAAGCTTCCTAACTCATTCTACAAAGCCAACATTACCCTGATACCAAAACCAGGCAATGACAACACAAAAAAACAAAATTACAGGCCAATATCACTGATGAACATCAATGCAAAAATCCTCAACAAAATATTAGTAAATCAAATACAACAATACATAAGAAACATCATACACCATGATCAAGTGAGATTTATTCCAGGGATGCAGGGATGGTTAAACATCTGCAAATCAATCAACATGATATATCACATTAACAAAATGAAGAATAAAATTCACATGATCATCTCAGGATGCAGAAAAATCATCTGACAAGATACAGCATCCACTTATAAAAACTCTGAATAAAATGGGGATAGAAGTACAGTACCTCAACATAATAAAGGCCACATATGACAAACCCACAGCTAATATCTCAACGGACAAAAACTGAAAGCTATTCCTCTAAGACAGGAACCAGACAAGGATGCCCACTTTCACCACTCTTATTTAACAAAACATTGGAAGTCCTAGCCACAGCAATCAGGCAAGAAAAAGAAAGAAAAGGGATCCAAATTGGAAAGGAAGAAGTGAAACTGTCACTATTTGCAGATGACATGATTTTATATACAAAACACCCTAAAGAATCCACCAAAAACCCTTTAGAATTTGTAAGCAAATACAGTAAAGTTGCCGGGTACAAAATCAACATACAAAAATCAGTTGCGTTTCTATACACTAACAACGAAATAGCAGAAAAAGAAATTAAGAATACAATCTCATTTACAATTGCAACAAAAAGAATAAAATGCCTGGGAATAAATTTAACCAAAGAGGTGAAAGTCCTGTACACTGAAAACTACAAAACGGTGAAAGAAATTGAAGAAGACACAAAGAAATGGAAAGATATTTCGTGCTCTTGGATTGGAAGAATTAACATAGTTAAAATGTCCATACTTCCTAAAGCAATCTACAGATTCAATGCAATCCCTATCAAAGTCCCAATGACATTTTTCATGGAAATAGAACAAAGAATCCTAAAATTTATATGGAAAAACAAAAGACCCGAATAGCCAAAAGAATACTGAGAAAAACAAAAAGCTGGAGGTATCGCATCCCCTGATTTCAAAATATACTACAAACCTTTGGTAATCAAAACAGCATGGTACTGGCACAGAAACAGACACACAGATCAATGGAACAGAATCAAGAGCCCAGAAATAAACCCACACATCTATGGACAGCTAATTTTCGACAAGGGAGCCAAAAACATACAATGGAGAAAGGACAGTCTCTTCAATAAATGGTGTTGGGAAAACTGGACAGCCACATGCAAAAGAATGAAAGTAGCCCATTATCTTTCACCATGCACAAAAATTAACTCAAGATGGATTAAAGACTTGAATGTCAGACTTGAAACCATAAAACTTGTATAAGAAAACATAGGCATTATCCTCTTTGACATCAGTCTTAGCAGCATCTTTTCAAGTACATGTCTGACCAGGCAAAGGAAACAATAGAAAAAATAAACAAATGGGATTACATCAAACTAAAAAGCTTCTGCACAGCAAAGGAAACCATCAACAAAATGAAAAGACAACCTAACAACTGGGAGAAGATATTTGCAAACCATATATCTGATAAGGGGTTAATATCCAAAATATATATAGAACTTATACATCTCAACAACAAAAAAACAAACAACTCAATTAAAAAATGGGCAAAAGACCTGAACAGACATTTCTCCAAAGAAGATATGCAGATGGCCAACAGGCACATGAAAATATGTTCACCATCATTAACTATCAGGGAAATGCAAATCAAAACTACAATGAGGTATTACCTCATGCCAGTCAGAATGGCTATAATTAACAAGACAATAAATAACAAGTGTCGGAGAGGATGTGGAGAAAAGAGAACTCTCATACCCTGCTGGTGGGAGTGCAAACTGGTGCAGCCACTATGGAAAACAGTATGGAGATTCCTCCAAAAATTAAGAATAGAACTACTAAATGCTCCAGCTCTTCCACTGCTGAGTATTTATTCACAGAACATGAAAACACAAATGTGTAAAGATAAATGCACCACTATGTTCATTGCAGCATTCCTCACAATAGCTAAGATTTGGAAGCAACCTAGGTGCCCATCAAGGGACGAACGGATGAAGAAGATGTGGTATATATACACAATGGAATACTATGCAGCCATAAAAAAAGATGAAATCTTGCCATGTGTGACAACATGGATGGACCTTGAGGGTATTATGCTAAGTGAAATAAGTTGGAGGGAGAAAGTCAAATACTGTATGATCTCACTCATAAATAGAAGATAAAAACAACAACAAACAAACACCTAGAGACAGAGATTGGATTGGTAGTTACCAGAGAGGAAGGGAGTGGGAGGAGGGTGAAAGGAGTGATTAAGCACATGTGTATGGTGATGGATTGTAATTAGTCTTTGGGTGGTGAACATGATGTAATCGATGTAATCTACAGAGAGACTGAGATGTAATGATGTACACCTGAAATTTATATTTATATAATCTTGTGGACCAATGTTACTGCAATAAATAAATTCTCTTCCCCATTTATGAGTTAACTCCATGAACATTTCACCAATCATTTATTCCTTTATTTCCCAAGAATAAACTCCCAACACACGTTAACAAACTAAAAGAAAGACATTGATTTATCTAGACAAATACTCACTAGTTACTAGATTGGCAAATACTAATAGGTTATTTTTGATGTAGTACCCTACCAATTGTTGCCGCTCAATTAATACTTAGCAATTAATTGTTGACTATCAATTTGTTCACCTTATTTTTAACACATACTTATTTTAAGAAATACCTCCTAATTTACTTACCTAACAGTCTCTGTTCGGCTGCTGCTTTCTGATCTGGATCTAAATAATAGTGAAAATATTGCTTCCAAGTTAATACTTAAAAAAAAATGTACCTCCATAACAAATGAATGTCAGACCACTTTGTAACCTGCATTATCTCATTTATACCACTAATCACCACTCATGAATAATTTCAAAAATTTACTAAATTAGGGTATGCAAATAAGTAACATTCATATTTACACATATACCATGTCCATAAAGAATATAAATATCAAATCCCCAACTAGGGAGGGGAGCAAGAAAACAGATTTGTTTTTCTCCTTATTACTTCCCAGGACAGGATAGATGTGTGATTTTGAATGCCTGATGGCCTTCCAGTTCCAGTCTAACATTTTACCCAGTGATAAACAAATTACTAAAGGCCATGATTTAAAACTCTCACTGACTTCTAGAGAATCATGCAGATGGGCTAACATGGGAATTTCCCCCTCCTATGCCACACAGAGAGAACTGGTGAAAAAAATAACACAAAACACTACCAGAAATTTAAAGGAAGAAACGGGCATTTCTAATGATAATTTGAGAAAAAACAAAGAGGAAGTTGAAAGCACAAAAGTAAACAGGAACTACAGCTGAATGACTCCAGAGGTATGTGAAACAGTTACACATATCAGCTGATTAGGAGTTGAGACCTCCTGGAAAGCTGGAAGTGACCTCCTTCTCTGAACTTGGAAGCCAGGAAAGGCCACACCACCCATGAAACGGAGACAGTGAAAGCTGTCACCATTAGTCTTTGAGATGCAGCAGGAAAATTGCTTCAGAAGTGTAGATGGAAATGGATCACCTAGAGACACAGGAACTCTTAAGTGCTTAAAATGGTTTAGGGATATGGATGGAAAAAATATGCCACAGAGAAATAGGAACCTTAAGCCTTTACCAACTATAGATTCAGGACAACAATTCACACTTCCTATCAATTCTAGATCTCCAGGTATAACAAGTACTCTAAAAATTGATGACTTAGGAGGGTAAAATATGAAATAATCTCCACAAGGAGGATTCTTCAAAGCATGATATGCAGAATTCTCATGAGACAATCATTGCCACTCAAGATGGCCTTACAATCAAAGAAAAAAGCCACTGAGAGGTAATGTCTACAGCCAGAGCAAACTAAAGAATTCATATACCAAGAATTACAGGCAACAGAAAAACTTCAAAAAAACAATGTTTAGAATATCCATAGAGATCAATAAAGGAAAAGAATCCATTAAACAAGAAATGACAGAAGTGAAAAAAAAGAATTGCTAGTTTTTAAATTGTTTAGGAAAATCATACAGAACACTAAGTAAACAGAAATGTAATATATAAAAGACCAGTTAAGAAAGATGGAGAAGTTCAGACACAGAAGATTTAGAATGTGGGAGACTCAATATTTGAAGAGAAAGAGTCTAGGACTTTTCCCAAATTGGAGAAAGTATGAGTCCTCACACTGAAAGAAAATACTGAGTCCAGTTCATGATTTTAAAAAAAAGAAATCTCTACCAGAATACTTTATAATGAAATAACGACTCTAAGGACAAAGAAAAAACCCTAAAGGCTGTGTTAGGCAGAATTCTAAAGATGACCCCCTAAAACCCTCATTCCTTTGTTATTCAAACACTCTTCTAAGTACTGCTCTGAAGAGAATTTGCAAATGTAATTAAACTCCAAATCAGTTGCCCTTAAAATACAAAGACTATTTTGGTGGCTCTGACGTGATCAGGTGAGTCTTTTAAAAGTAGAGTTTTCTCCTGCTCGTGGCAGAAGAGGAAGTAAGAGAGAGTCAAAACCCGCGGAAGATGTGACTTGCCCTTGTTTCTTTGAAGATGAAAGGAGGTACATCAAAAGCAATGCAGGTGGCCTCTGAGAGCAGGGAGGGGCCCCTAGCAGACAGCTAGCAAGGAAATAGGTACCTCGGACTTACAGCTGCAAGAAATTGGATTCTGCTTACAATCTGAATGAGCTGGGAGTCCAGCCTGGCCTTCAGGCCTTCAGGTCAGCCTTGTGACAACCCATCCAAATCCACCTGGATTTCTGACTTACAGAACTTTGACATAATAAATGAAAGTTGTTTCAAGGCATTAAGTGTGTGGTAATTTGTTATGCAGCAACAGAAATACAAAGGCTACTACAGATAAAACTCATATTAACCATAAAGGAATAAATGAATCAACACACTAACAGATTTATCATCATCAGTAAATGCCAAACTATTCTGGCACACTTGCATATAGCTGAGGCAAAATAACTCTCCACCTAGCGGCCGCCATTGTTATGGCCTGGTGTGAGCGTGCTGACACAGACGCCATTGGAGTTCTCCCTGAGGCCTGCTAGCCCAGGGTCTGCCCCACCCACTAGAGCACCAATTTAATCCAGCTCAGCCAGGGCAGGCAGCACACCCTATAGACTGGCCCCACCCAACAACAAGCCCTCAGGCAACTTGTGGGCCTGCATAGATTGGT